GACTATTGCCATTCTCTTTTTGTTGAATGTTTTGGGAATACCTCCTACTAGTGAAGTTCTGAGAGCATCATGTATCTAGTAGCACTCCATCAATGCTGTTGTATATAGACAAGTATTTGTGTGGTAATGTTTAATAACCATGCTTATCTACTAGTGCACGCAGACGATTTGTCTTTATTACTTTTTGTTTTTTTGCCTCATACGGTTTCTTTTATCTTCTTTGTCGGACAATGTAAATTGTTGAGAATGAATAGTGCATACTCATCGTAATTAATTTTCTTTTGAGTTAAAGGTCTTAGGTACCTTTATACAAAGGCACCAAAGAGAAGAAAAAACAAAGGAAAATATAGCACTCTGTAAAGGCACAAACACATGAGATCTATGAGATCCATAAGGTGTAATTTCTCCATCTTCTTGTTTGCAGCATGTGGATGTTGCTCTTCTTCCTGGTTGATATGTGTAGCAGAATCATAAAATTGATACTGAAACTTCTATGACGTGCTGAGGATATCACTTAATCCTGTTTCATTTTAGGTTTAGCATTCTGTTAAATTATGATGACTTCTGATATCAAAAAACATGCAGGTTGTTTCTGTTAAAGTTATTCGCAATAAGCAGACTGGTCTGTCCGAGAGATATGGATTTGTTGAGTTCAGTTCTCATGCAGCAGCTGAGAAAGTACTTCAGAACTACAATGGTACCATGATGCCAAATATAGATCAAACATTTCGCCTAAACTGGGCAGCCTTTAGCTCGGGTGATAGGCGGCCTGATGCTGTCTCTGGTGGCTTTAGCGGCTCTGGCGGCTCTGGCTCTGATTTATCAATATTTGTTGGTGATTTGGCTCCTGATGTTACTGATGTGCTATTGCATGAAACTTTTGCTAGTAGATATCCATCGGTAAAAGGTGCTAAAGTGGTTTTTGATTCAAATTCTGGCCGCTCAAAAGGTTATGGCTTTGTGAGGTTTAGTGATGAAAATGAGAAGACACGAGCCATGACTGAAATGAATGGTGTGTATTGTTCTAGTAGACCTATGCGAATTGGTGTTGCAACCCCCAAGAAACAATCACCTCAGCAACAATATTCTTCACAAGGTGTAACTGATAATTCCTTTTCTGCAGTTGTTGTGTCCTTTCTTTTCTATATTATTCCTCTAGTGTTTTTTCATGAATATGTATTCTTGAAAGCTGTGGAATTTTTCTGAAGTGGTATTTTTCCTCCTATCATTAGTCTTATGAACTCAAAAGGTTCTCTCTTAAAGAAAATTCATTTGCATGCTGTCAATCACAATCGAAAATAAAATGCGTACCAATACTGATTCCAAATTCTGACTTTTTTTTTTCTTCAGCTGTAATACTTGCTGGTGGTTATGCATCCAACGGTGCTCTGCCCCAAGGTTCTCAATCTGAAAACGACTCATTAAACACAACTGTGAGTCTTGCTGCTTGTAGGACGTTTGTTGTCAGAAATTTATTCAGATCATTAACCCTTGTTCGTTGTAGATATTCGTGGGTGGACTGGACTCTGATGTAACTGATGTGGAGCTCAGACAGTCTTTCACTCCATTTGGTGAGGTTATCTCCATTAAAATACCAGCTGGAAAAGGATGTGGATTTGTACAATTTGCAAACAGGTAATGCTGTGGTTCTGGTATTTCATTGTTAAAAAACCAGCCATGGGCAACATAAATTGATAAGAGTGGATCATATTGCTCATATGTATTGTTCGTGTGTTAATATCAATTATTATAAATTTGGTGATTACAAAAACGTGGATACCCTTATTGTTTGGGGGTGGAGGGAAGTAGACAGCTGAAACTACTTGTACTTTTCAAAATCTTTTGTTGATAAAAGTGAATATCCTGCATGGTAAATTAGAAAACCAGTTGGAGTTCTTGTTTCAAAATTGAAACTTTAAGCTGGGTTTAGTAACTAATTCATTTAGTAAGAACTCTTAATGTTCTCATATTTATTGAAACAATCATGCTAGTATGCTACATGTACATCATCTTTTACATCATTGTTTACACACCATTGGTCAGTTTTTTTTTAAAAAAAAAACACATTTCCTGCCCACAATTTTTTGAAAAAATGGGGATATCAAAAAATGTGCAAGGGAATGAATGTACATTTAGCATTATTGTAGTTGAAAAGTCAATTCACAAATTATTCAGCATATAAAAGTGAACCTAATAGCTATAGTTGAACGGATTGCTATTACCACGAACTTGCTGCAAGTTTGTTTCAAATGATTGATTTCAGAACCATGTCACTACCGCTTGACTTTTCTGTTCCAACAGAAGCAATGCAGAGGATGCAATACAGAGATTAAATGGAACTGTTATTGGCAAGCAGACAGTTCGTCTTTCTTGGGGACGAAATCCAGGAAACAAGCAGGTAAAATCTTTATTTGTGAATGAAATCACCTGATCCGGTATTTCAGTAGGAAGTGATAAATATTTTCGATGACAACTGAACAGTTCAGTTCTATGTTACACATGGTCCAAAAAACGTTCATCTCAAATTCTTGAGTTCATGGTTGCTTGAAAATGTGATCCTAATTAAATTTGGTTTACATGTCAGAAAATGTTTCATTAGTTGTTTGTGATGTGTAGGTCTACATGCCAGAAAATATAAAATGTTTTTGTTTCCCAGTTTTCAGTAATATTTCTGTATTTTTACAAAAATCTTTTCTACTATCATCACATATGTATCATTTGATTTTAAACTCTGCAATTTTGTTTTCTGAAAACATCTTATAATGGGGTAAAGAAAAATGAGTTGGAAATGTTTTCCACTACACTCTGCAAAACTGCAACTTATATCCCGGGCTTCCTGTTGCCATACTGAAACTAGGTCAAACGTTTTCTCTCTACCAAAATTTACCTACCTCAACCCCCTCAAAAGGGAGAAATTGTACACTTAGTCCCCATCTTATCGACCGAGTAGTAAGTTGATCCCCACCTGGAGTAATTTGCTCCTCAGTCTTGTACCATACTTGCAATGACGAAGTAAATGTTTTCAATCTCCGTCTAATCATCATGTGGTCTTCATATATCCAACTTCATGAAGATATATTATATTTTCCAACTTGGAGCTTGTTTGTGAGGGATTAAAATTAGATTAAAATTGAAAAACTAGCCGTTGGAGTGACTTTTATTAGACGAGTGGGACCCAATAACGGCTATATTTTCAATTTTGATTGGATTTTAATTCCTCCCAAACAAGCTCTTGGTCTGGTGAGCAAAAGTTTGAAGCGAGACATGTTTCCATGAGGGCACAACATTATGGTTTATAGGAACTCTTTTATTGGAAACTCTATGCAATTATAAAGTAAGGTTGAGAATGAACTTGTTCCTTTTTAAAGATTGGTATAAACTTGCCACTTAGGCAATAAGTTTGGAACCAACGATATGAGCCCCCCCCAACCCAAGAATGATAAAAGAATAAGTAATGCGTTGTTTCATCCTTTGGCCATTACAAGTATCTTTTATCCCTCACTTATTGACTATGTTTGTATTTTCTACTTGTTTGGCAGTCGAGAGTGGATGCTAATAGCCAATGGGGCGGATCGTATTATGGAAGGCAAGGTTACAATGGCAATGGGTATAATGCAGGTGCTGTTTATGTGGCATCAAATGGCCATGGGAACCAGCAGCAGCCAGTTAATTGAATTACTGGACTTTGCTGATTGAGCTTAAGAGAGACTAAATTAATCTGAACATTAGAAGTGTGGTATGTAGAATTTTATAGCTGGATTAAATTTTATGAGGTGTGAGGATTTTTTGTGAACTTATTTTCGAAATTTTGAGGTGTCTTAAAAGAGTATTTTTTTTCATAATAATTGATAGCATATATTACTTTTTTTATTTATTCTTTTGGAGCTTTTTAATGTTAATTACTTTAATTATTTTCATTTTTAATAGAAAAGCTTTGAAACTTACCAAGTTCTCTTAGCTTGTATGAATAGAACCCTAAATTCAGTGTGATTGTAATTGCATCACTAAGAGGATTCTGAGATTTGCGTCAACAGCTTCTTCTAGTATGCTTTTGGTAGTTCTTGGTAAGCTTTGTATGCCTGAACATTGAATCAAAGCTGACCAATTATCGGGTTAGAATTTCTTCGGCTAAATAAAAAAAAAAAAAAACTTCTCTACTTTCTTTTTGATACCTCATTTGTATGTAAACCATCATGTAACTCCATTACGTAGAAGCAGGAGCGGACGTGGAACTTAAAAGTTGGCAATCGAACTTGTAAAGAAGTTAGGAGAAATTTTACAATCGAAAATTTACATGAGATGTGACTTTTTCGGATGTAAAATTTCAAAAAATTTTGATGTCATATTACATATAAATTTTTTTAATAAATGATTAAAATTACATTGAGAAAAAAAAATTTTCGAAATTTTTCATGGGATATGACTTTTTCGGATGTAAAATTTCGAATATTTTTTATATCATATTCCATATAAAATTTCCTAATAAAATGATGAAAATTACATTGAGAAATTTGTATCGCAAAAATAATAAATAATGAAAAAATTGAAATAAAAAAAAAGTGAGTTAGACGTCTTGTTTTAAGACTCACTTTTAATGTATTTTTAACTATTTTAGATATCTGTTTGGACTATTAGATATGCCCATAATGTAGTTCTCAAAATAAGTTTTGAGATGACATAAGCAATTTATAGATTCGTTTAACGTACGATCGTCGGAGAATTTTTAAAATTAGCATGTTATCGAAATTCAAATTTATTGTGATTTTGCCACTGTTTGGTGGAGATTAAAAATCAAATTTTTAGTAAATTTTGATAAAAGTTAAAACAGTTATTGATTCTATAAAATATTTTATTAAAATTAATTGTTAATTTTGATTTAGATTAAAATTTAGATTTCAATCGATACCAAACACGATTTTATATATATATAAAAAAAAAATCTCAAAAGTTCCCCCAGCAGGTCCGCCGGTGCGTAGAAGTAACATTATTCATAATCTTATATGCTGGTCTTTGTCAATGATGTTCAGTCCAATATACCAAATGTACGATTACTATTCGAACTTGCCGGAGCTATTGTTGGTATATCATGGTTAACAGGTCTCGTTAAGCTGATAGGTGGGTATTGTTTATCTCGAGATTAGGGATGTGCGAGTTCTTGTGATTCCCTTGCTTTATAACCAGGCGCATGTTTCCGAAAGGGAATGTTTGGACTTCGGTATACTTCACATGGTAAGATGAGGGATGATTGAAGAAAGAGAAATATATGAGATGTTTGTCCACTATTTTTTATGGTCGAGCACAGTAAAGATCCCCAGTGTGCTGCAACAGTGATTTTCAGGAATTACCCCTGTTTGTTTCTCCTTTTTTTTGCCCTTGTTAGAAAAATTAGGACCGTTGCACAGTGCCATCGCCACCATTGTTGACTCGTTTTTCACTTGGTGGGTCCCACGACTTTGAATATAACGGTAACAATTCTCATTTTTATGCTAAAAAATGATGAGAAACAAACAGACGCCAAATTTCAACTTTTGTGCTGCAGAACTCTCTCATTTTTTGCAGTTAGATGGGAAGGACTAAGAAATGGTCTAGTTGGATGGTTGGTACTCCAACCATGCCCTTATCCAATTTTGTGAAATTTTCTGCCTTTTTAAGTTAGGTTGAGTTGATAATTGGCATAAATTTTTTGTCGTGCCTCGCGACATTTAGCTAATGCACGTTCTGTTTGGGTGTCTACCGTCTAGTTGATTCTTGAGAGTAAAGACTCAATTTGTTGCATAAGTCTAGTCTTCTGATTATATCATATTATTGTTATTATTATTTGGTGTAGTTTTTCAGATCATATTCAATGAAAATTACACGCAAAAAAAGACTTTCAATGGAAATTACACGCAAAAAAAGACTTTCATCGACTTCTGGTAACACAAATATATAATATATTAAATATCACGTGAAGTGAGAATTATTTTTTGGACGATTTTAACTTTACTGCAATTCAATTATTTCAATAATAATTTACTTTTTCGTTTTTCAATATTTAATAAATACTATAAAATTCTTGTCATGTATGAATTTCGTGTTATTAATTCTCAATTAATTAACCTTCACATTAATCCAGATCCAATGAATCTTGATTTGATGAATTTTGATCTACATGAATCTAGAGTTATTATAAATAAATTTATTTCTATTTATATATTTAGAAATTTTAATGAGTGTTTAAATTCATATATTAACAATTAATTTTTACGTACCCAATATATTATAAATGTTGCTCAATATTACAATTTTCTTTTCTTAAATTTCTATTCTAATTTTTTTTTAGTTCGTTTGAGACTCATCAAATCCTCCCAATAAATTGATATCAAATATTAATTTTACAGCACTTATAAAATATTCTAGAATAACTTGTAATGTGCTGTTCAACTTTGATTAGTCAAGGAAAGTGTGTAATAAACTTCATTTACAGTTTTAAAAAAAAAAAACAACAAAGATTAAAGATGAAATTGGTGGGACAAGGGCGGACTCGACTCCAAAAAGGTAATCATATTGAATGCAGACCATAAGAATCACGACAGGCCTACAAGACCATTTTACGCGCAAGTGGTCCAAATCCAAATGGTCTGTCGTCTAACATCAATTCGCTTTCCTTGATGGTTTGATTAATGATCAAATGTCCATGTTTTACTAACCCCGATTGGATTCTACTATCATAGTTGAAACAGTCAAATGACATATCATTTTCATTTTTAAATGTTCAAAGATATGATATCATAACAAGCATATATTTGTGATTCAAATCTCACCATCTTTTTTTATTTATATTAAAAAAAAACACGTGTCTATGTATTTGAAAATATCAGTATAAATGAATTAAGAAATATAATCGATTTGAAAATATTAAAGCCAAGAGACAAGGTGAAGCATGATGTTGTTTGAATATGTTCTTCTTTTGTGAACTTGACAGGGTGGAAAGCAATCATTCCAAAAAATAAAATAAAATAAAATAAAAAATAAAGCATTGATTTAGGATTCTATTGGAGATGATCTGATAACTTTCTTGATTGAATTATTGGATATAACATACATGAACCTTCTGATTAAATTCCAAGTCTTGCAATGAAAAGGAAAAGATGAAATGCATGAGAGGGAAGTTTTGAAATTCGAGGCAAGAAAAGATTTTGGGTTCACACTACAAACCGCACAAAGCTTCCTTCCTAGAAGATAATAATATTTGTCGATGGTTTCGGTCAAAAAATGCGTTAAGTCTTTTCTTTCTCTTAGAGAAGACAAAGACTAGCTATCGTTTTTCTTACGCGATTTCCTAACTTGCCTACGGGGCGAGATTGATTTTTTGTTCAATAGAGGACCCGTTAAAGTGATGTATGTTGTACATGGCCTATCATTCGGATAAGTCGAAGAAAGAGTTTATCTTCTTTCCTTTCTATGTACAATTGAATACTAGTATTTTAAAATTCCATTTTACCTAAGAGCATCTCTAAGAGACTCTGCGAATACAAATTTCTTTTTATTTTAAAGGGCTAACGCTTAAAAATAAGTTCCAAAAAACTCTATATTTTATTTTTTTTAAATAGTGTTTGGCTCTCGAAATTTAGATAGTCAATCTCTCTCGCTATTATTAATGTAGGGTTAATTTCACAAATGGTCACTGAAGTTACCTGAAAATTTCAAAACGGTCACTGAAGTTTCAAAATTTCAGAAACAGTCACTGAAGTTTGAAATTTCTTTCAAAACGGTCAATGAATTTTCAGATTTTTTGGCCAAGTTTGAAGCACTTTTTTGGAAACTTCCGACCACCAAACTCGCCGATTTAGGATACCGTTGGAAAGCCCACGATGTCCTCTTCAATTAACACCAAAAATCTCTTCAAAACTCCAAGTGATTCTGTCGGAATAAAGCTACGAAGTCGGCAACTGAAAATTGTGAAAATCTGCCCAGATTTTCAGATTTTTTGGGCAAGTTTGAGGCAATTTTTCAGCAACTTCCGACCATCAAAACCTTCGATTTCGAATACTGTTGGAAAGCCCACAATGTCCTCTTCAATTACCATAAAAAATCTCCCCAAAACTCCAAGTGATTTGGCTGGAATAAACCCACGAAATCAGCTACCCAAACTGGACAGATTTTAGGACTTTTTTGGTAGCTGAATTCGTGAGTTTATTCCGGCCGAATACCTTGGAATTATGGGGAGATTTTTGGTGATAATTGAAGAGGACATTGTGGGCTTTCCAACGGTATCTGAAATCAAAGGTTTTGGTGGTCGGAAGTTGCCGAAATATTACCTCAAACTTGTCCAAAAAATCTGAAAATCTGGGCAGATTTTCACAATTTTCGGTTACCGACTTCGTGGGTTTATTCCGGCAGAATCACTTGGAGTTTTGGGGAGATTTTTTATGGTAATTGAAGAGGACATCGTGGGCTTTCCAACGGTATCCGAAATCTGCGATTTTGGTGGTCGGAAGTTGTCGAAAAATTGCCTCAAACTTGCCCAAAAAATCTGAAAATTCAGTGACCGTTTTGAAAGAAATTTCAAACTTCAGTGACCGTTTTGAAATTTTTCAGGTAACTTCAATGACCATTTGTGAAATTAACCCATTAATGTACAATGATTGTATTTAATAAACTATATGTTTCAATAATCTACTTTTTAAACCATTCAAACTATATATTTTTTTTTATGTAAATTTTTTTTTTCTTGTTTAATTTTTTTTTAATGTATTAGCCCGGCCTGTAATCCGGTCCTGGATCTGTCCCTGTAATAAATGTTTCTTGAAAAAAAATAAAATGAAGAGCCAAAATAGAGAGTATTGTTGGAGTGCATAAAAATTTTAATTCTCTAAATTTAAAAATATTCTTTATAATGCACAAGATGATTTTCATAAATAAAAAGTTTTTTGGAGATGCTTTAAGAAGCCAAAAGTGTAGAAGAAGGCCTATATAAATCTGCCTTACTCTACTCGAGATTCAGAAAACCAGTATACTATGGAAGGACAACATGCATTTTTCTCTACAAACCTCCGCCTATCCATTTTTCTCATTATAGTGCTTCCTGCACTTAGCCATGGCTTGGGAACTGATCAAGCCAGTTCACTTATGGCCTTGCGTAGGTCGAAAATGGAGTCTCGAGGCATAGCAGCAGATGAAAAATGGACAGAAATGAGTGTTAATGGTTCTGAAAGAATGGCTTCTGATGTGGGAAATATGGAATATGATATGATAAAAGGTAGGCTTCCTGGACAGCCGTTAGGGGTTACATTTAAGCAATATGCAGGATATGTAAATGTTGATGAAAAGAAAGGGAGAAGCCTTTTCTATTACTTTGCAGAGGCTTCTGAGGATCCTTCTTCTAAACCACTTATTTTGTGGCTCAATGGAGGTGAAAACTCTCTCCCTCTTAACACCCACACCCACATCAAGAATGCATCATACGTGTCAAGACTTTGGTAAAAGAAAAAATGAATATAGTATTCAAGTGATAGGGCGTGTCAAAGATGTAATACAAATAAGTTTGTCTCGTCCCAAGAGTTTAAGATTTTAGATGAGCCAATTGTTGATTCTCTATTTAAGTGTCACAACATGAAAGTACCACTCTTTTGCAACTAACTAGATTCACAGTTCTACAAAGTATGGTGTAATAACTGAACATGGCATGTTTATGCACAATTATTCACTTGTTCTTTCATTTGTCAATTCTCTATTTATCTTGAGACAATTAGGGCGTGTGTGGTAGTTGGAAAACAGTATTAACAGCACAGCAGCACTGCACATGGCAAAAAATAAGATTTTAACTTATTTTTCTTTCTTTATCCATTGTTGATTCTGTCATTAAAAACATGCCATTATTTTTTCTTTTTCTTGAATACATGGTATAAATGGTTAACCTTATAAACAGGACCTGGTTGTTCATCACTTGGAATGGGAGCAATGACTGAACTTGGACCTTTTGGGGTCAATCCTGATGGTAAAACACTCTATTCAAGAAAATTTGCATGGAATAAAGGTATATATAGGATTTGAGAGTGCTTTCATCTTATTACTATGTGCACACAAAGTAATGGTACAGGCTAAATTAAATTGACTGGAATTTATACTTTCACGTATGTGACGCAGTTGCAAATACATTGTTTCTGGAGTCACCTGCAGGCGTTGGGTTCTCTTACTCGAACACGACCTCAGACTATAACCTGTCAGGAGACAGAAGAACCGGTATAACACCTAGTGCTACATGGCTCGACAGAATAGTGAACAAAATTTCTGTTCTTTATCTTCATTAGTACTCTCCGCTGTGTCTACTCTACTTACCAAAAAAGCCATCATTGATATCTTTTCCAGTTTGAACTTGTTAAATAGCATAAAATTTTGAAAAGAATCACCACCAAGTAGATAAGTAACTCTACCATACTCTCACTTCTTTAATTCAACTAAAACCGTATTCTGAAATTTTTAGTGGAATAAAGATCTTGAAAGGGAAGTTTTTCAATCATCAACTCAAAGTGGCTGCCCTATTTTTCCAAATATTATGATTCTTGGATCAATTTTTTGTAGTCCTACTTCAATATTCTGTTATGTTGCAGCTGAGGACGCGTATACATTTTTGATAAACTGGTTCAAGAGGTTCCCTCATTACAGAACAAGGGATTTCTATATAACAGGAGAGAGCTATGCAGGTAACTTTAACCAAAAACTTTACCTTCCTACATAAATGAAATAGTTTGAATAAAGTAAGAATAAAAGAATGAGAAGCTACTTTTAATATAAACATTCTTATGACATTCTGATTGATTGGATATAATCTCGACTCCAGGAATAATTTTCATTCTTTTTTCAAGAACAACCTGAAGCTCCACTAAAAAATCTGAAATGATTGTTCATTATCACAAATACGTGGTTGGCATTTCATAGAATAAGTATCTGTCAGCATATTGGATTTCTGATTTGAACTTCTATAATAATGTGACAGGTCACTATATTCCGGAGTTAGCAGACGTAATTGTCAAAAGAAACAAGAAGGCACACTCAACTTCAAAAATCCTACTTAAGGGCATCATGGTAAACTCTTTTCAGAAATATCACTTTAATACATTGAAATTTTCTCAATTTTTCTTGAACTATGGAGCAGATCTACTTTTTCTTTTTCTTTAATTTAAAAAAAAACAGAATCACTCGTGTTGGTGTGATTAGTAATAATTAAAATAATAGCAGAAAACTGAAAGAGGTGAAGACAGTATAATTTTACTTCTTAGAGGATAATGTATTTATCAGATTGTTCTTGGTTATGAGAAGAAAATTCAAACAAGTAATGCTACCAAGTCAAGCAAGAAGAGAAAGCCTATTAGATGGTCAAAGTCATATTTGATTTTTTGTCTTCTAAAAGGAGGAATGCGAGTTGTTTTAGTTAAGTGGCGAGCAATGCAAACCGCCTTACAACATATATAAATAGGCTTGGATGTGGGTTCATTCATGGTGTGTGTTCTATGAGTATGTGCTGAAACAATTGAGCACCAATGAGAATTAAAGATAGAGATTGTTATTGAGAGAGAGAGAGAGAGTTTGACATACTTTGCAACTCATCTTTGAATTTCATCATGTAATCCTCTGTTCATATTTTGTAATAAAGCCACTTGAGTGAAATCTTTGTGTCCAAATTTTGCTATCTTTCATTATCCTGGGTAATCATCCCAACAAAAAACAACTTAAGAGGCTCCTAACCTCCAGTGAAAAGTAAAATGCTGCAAAATAAATGATGAGATTTATCCCGCCAACATGGGAAATACATAAGAAAATAAAGAAAAAGTGCTTAAAACTAATTCTAGTTTGAATACTTCATTCTACGTGTCTTCTTATGCGTTGTGGTGAATCTGAAACTGTAGGCCTCATCTTTACAAATCATATCCATAGGTTGTAGGTATCCTATTGAACATGTTTGTGATATTTTCATCACCACCTGCCTTGTGGAAAATGTCTCGAGATCGCTCACAATGGTATCTCGAATCTTGTTGCTCGTACCTACATCCTCAACTTGATTAACTACCACACCTTTAGGAATGTTCATATTATCCCAAGATGGTGGATTGTCCTACACGTTCACCATGCAACGACCCCAAGACCCATACCATCAAGATCACTCAAAATGATGTCACGAATCTTGTTATTAGTCCCTACATCCACATCTTGATTGACTGAAGAGGAATTGTCCCGCTCTCGTGCTGTACTTGAAGTCCCAGAGATTATATTCACCAAGTGATTCATTACTTCCTTCAATTTTGGTCCCACTTCTAGGCGGTGTTTCTTAAAGTGAATAATGAGTCCTTGTCTAACGGACTCGTCATCCATGTCTCTAGACACGCCCTTTTGTATCAGCATGAAGGTCCGCTGATTTCTCAATTAACTGCAACTCGGTCCGCGAATTGTCAGAATTTTGAAATTCAGTCCTCTCGACTTTTTGAGATATGCAATGTGTTAAAATTAACAATACAAAAGACAGAGAGTGAAAACGAGAAGGGGGCTAGGGTTTTACATTGTGTAAAATTGATTGAAAATACAAAGAAATGGAGACTTTAAATAGTCTCACAAGTAAACAAATAGAATGACAAAAGTACCCTTAACCTAATCTATTTATTACATTAACATCCCCTCCCAAACTCACGATGCTACAACAAGAAGCAACGAGAGTTTGTCAAGCAAGAAACAAAAACGATGAANCTGCCGACAGAATCTCCAAGCACTTCATTCTCACAAATAATTCCAACCCAATTAGTAGTAATCAAACCAATTAAACATCAACTGTAAAGGTTGAGAACATTGAGAACATTAAGAACATCCACAAATTTAAACAATCCCACATTCAGAATTCCAAGCACACCAATTGACATCCAAAACCAAGCAACCAACCAATCAATGTCCAACTATACTACACCTCCAGTGAACTCAGCTCGCTGATGGTCTCCTTCGTCAACTGCCCGCCTATACAACACCGCATCTATCAAATATTCACCATTGTCAACAGACCAAAAAATAATCGCCCAAACCCAAAAAAAAATTCAAACAACAATCCACCACAACCAAGTGAACCAACCACAATCCAAAGACCTCAGGACCCAGAAGGAAGCTTCCACCCAGAAATTATTGCTGCAGAATGAAGATTTTTTTTTTTTATTACCTCAACCAGTTTCGTGGAATCCGAATCAGATTGAGGACGAAATATGGCGGCTAATGTTTCTTCTTCACAGTTCACGCAGGCATGCAGGTGTGAATTCTACTCTCAACAAGAATCAACAAATTTGAAGATAACCTAGCTCTGATATCATGTTAAAATTAACAATACAAAAGACAGAGAGTGAAAACGAGAAGGGGGCTAGGGTTTTACATTGTGTAAAATTGATTGAAAATACAAAGAAAGGGAGACTTTAAATAGTCTCACAAGTAAACAAATAGAATGACAAAACTACCCTTAACCTAATCTATTTATTACATTAACACAATGTCACATGAATATATATGCTGATGCGTTCCATATCTTCTTTCTTGAGAGCATGTAAACTTGGGGTATTTTTCTATGCTTATATTATTTCTAATCTTGTAGATTGGAAATGGGATAATGAATGATGCCACAGACGAGAAAGGCATGATTGAATTTTTGTGGAGCCACGCATTAATTTCAGACGAAACGTATCAAGGGCTTACAGGGCACTGCAAGCCAGGAAGCTCAAAATGTGGAAGTTTAGATGCAGCAGAAATTGGAAATATAGACTTTTACAATATATATGCCCCCTTATGCTCTTCATCGTTCAGATTGTCAAATACGACGAGAAAACATGTAGGATATGATCCGTGTGAACCAAAGTATGTTTACAGATATCTTAATCTTCCTCAAGTGCAGAAAGCCCTTCATGCAAACAGAACAAATCTGTCCTACAATTGGGAACTTTGCAGGCAAGAACCTTGATATTTTGTTTATACTATATTTAATACGTTAGATTAGACAGAATTTTGTCACGTAATACTCTTCCTTAATCTTGTCTAGTTCTATCTCGACAAAATATAATTATCCTCTATATATCTTGAATAGAATTCCTGGATATTTAGACAAAATTTCTGTTTTTCCCAGTGTAGTGATCAATACATGGAAGGACAGCCCAACAACGATGTTTCCAATATATAAGAGGCTTATGGCCTCGGGTCTTAGGATACTTCTTTACAGGTAAATATAATTCCTATTTAAAACGCTGAAGATCGGTTCAGTTAGAAGCAACATGCATTAGTTTATAACATTCTCACAGAGTCATTTGAGAGTATCTAAATAGATACTATATATTTATAGATCATTGTCATTTCATTCCATTTAGGATTACGAATAGGCACGGGACACATTATTTCAAATTTCTTGTTATTGGAGAACCTTTTTCACCCTTTTGAGCTTCAATTGAATCGGGAAATACATTTGATGAGCCCTCTTTTATGGTATATAGATCTTGCATATGCTAATATGCATCTGTGTCAGTGACGTCATGGAACCCTTGTTTACAGTGGATAGATTTCAAATATGCTAATATACATCTTTGTCAGTGGCGACGTGGATGCAGTTGTTCCAGTGACTAGTACACGATATTCCATTGGTGCTATGAACCTCAAAGTGATCAAATCTTGGCGTCCTTGGATGGATGAAACTGATGAAGTAATTAGACTTAAACTTCTTTTTATAACTATGCCTCTTATGACATGTTTGGTATGGTGGGCTGTATCGAGTTCTTCGTACCAAACACACTCTTATTTTTTTGACAAATGAGTTTATTTGTTAATTTTCGTATCAACTGACAGAGTTTTCTCTGCAGGTGGCTGGATACCGAGTGGTTTACGATGGTTTAACTTTCGCAACAGTTCGTGGCGCTGGTCATCAGGTTCCACAATTTCAGCCCCGGAGAGCTTTCACTTTACTGAAAATATTTCTTGCAGATCATTTTTAAAGGGTTTATCTTTAAAAAAAAACGTTGTTATGTGGCAACATAAGCTGAACTTATGGAATTGTTGATCTCGTAGCAGTTGAATGAAAATAAGATGCAGAATATGAGCATCAAATAAATTATTAATCGTCGTTTGTAAGGATAATCATTTTAAAATTGTATTTCTCTATGACTACTCATTATACAATTACAAGGTTAATGAACTAAGATCACGTTTGGTGCTCAATATTGGAGAGCGATGAGATTTTTTTTTGGTTTTTTTTACTTTTTTAACACTAGAAGTTTAGTGCCGTACTATCTACCTTATCAAACAATCCACAAAATCATTACCAACATCTTGAGAAGTGTCCTCCTAAAACATTTCATTTACTTTATATGAAATTGATTAGTGTGTCATGTTAGCCGTGGGAAGTTTTTATCCCGTCCACTTGGAGCAAGAGATTGGCATGTCTACTTTATATATCGATATTTCTTTTTACGAATGAATGTTTTTCTCCTACAGAATACTCTTAAAAAATAAGAATGAAGAACCTGTCCTTTACAACCGTCCCCCCCACCCCCACCAAGTGTTCACTGTTTTTCATTCTTGTTCGATGCTGGACATTTATCAGTGGCTTCACATACAAAAGTTCGGTACAGCAATATTTTGCATCTGAAAGTTGAGACGTTTGAAGTTTTTACCACTTCTTGTCTTCTTCCCATCCAACACACAAAGAAAGAACAAAAATAACTACAAATTAAGCTTTATTCCCAATATATTTAGGGTCGACTACATAAATCCTGTTTATTCTTTATGTTCAGTTCATCGTACAAAATTAAAATAAGTCGAAACTGTAAACCTCATCTTCCCATGTTCAATACATGAATTGCATTTCAACTATACTACAGCTGCCGGGGCAGATGCTGCCTGCTTTGTAATGACAAAGTGGAAGCAAACAAAATCCAATTATTCTAGTTAGTTAGGGGATAATTTTACAAAGCCAGGCCAGTTGATTTGTTAGGACATCCTTGTCAAAGCTGCTTAGCATCTCTCGTGTCATCGTTTTGTTTTTAGCATGTAGAAGTTCAATATTCTGCTTGACTCGTTCTCTTTGTCCCAAAATTGTTATGAAATTGGTAAAGGAGAATTTCAGTAAGATGTGATTCAAAATGAAAAGCTATCATTTGCTGTTTTCAAGAATTGTTACCTATATAAATAACGTAATACAGCATAAGTGGTGAGGAAAACAGGTCCAAGGCATTGAAAGAATGCAAACTGCACTTGTTTTGTTTATTTCTTTTTCATGCCTCATGGCCTCAATACGATGTTATGGTGGGAGAGGATTCGACCCTCTACGGAAACTTATCATGGATCAACGGTTGAAAATATCAACTGATTATCTTAATGAGGATGCTGCAACTCATCATTTGCCAGTTTATGTAAGATCTCAGGAGGGTCTGAAGGATGCTGACAGGATATTAATGTTGCCAGGGCAACCAAATGGAGTAAATTTTTCTCAGTATTCAGGATATGTTACTGTTGATCCAAAGGCTGGCCGGGCACTCTTCTATTATTTTGTTGAGTCTGAAGAGCCTTTGACTAAGCCTCTAGTCCTGTGGCTAAATGGAGGTATGTTTCTGCTGATCTTTTAATTAATGTTATTCTCATCAATCAATTTCCATTTTCATTAGTATCTCGAATGGAAGAATAACTGTGTGTTTTTTGACAGGACCAGCCTGCTCGTCTTTAGGAGCTGGAGCAATGACAGAACTTGGACCATTTCAAGTCAATAACGATAATAAAACTCTATCGTATAACAAATACGCATGGAATAATGGTGAGTTTAAGCATTCCCTCAAATAAGAGCTCAGTTACCTTTTGAAAGCATGTTTGGTATAGGCTATTAGACAGGACTAAAAGTGGTATCCAGTAATCCCTACCAAACATGCCCTAAAAGAACTACTCAGTGTTAAAACCATGACGCTGGATATGCAGTGGCAAATGTCCTCTTCTTGGAATCTCCGGCTGGTGTTGGATTTTCGTACTCGAATACGTCCTCAGATTATGTTACTGGAGACAAACAAACTGCAGCAGATTCTTATACCTTTCTACTAAACTGGTTTGAAAGATTTCCAGAGTACAAAGCCAGAGATTTCTTCATAGCCGGAGAGAGTTATGCTGGTCATTATGTGCCTCAACTTGTTGATCTAATTCTTAACAGCAAAATCACAAATCAGACTGCCATTAATTTAAAAGGAATTATAGTAAGTACAGATTATCATCCCACAGAATTACTTTTCAGTGTATACAGTATACCATGGACGTTGGGTAAGGAGGAATGGACAGGGAAATACTAAGAAAGAAAATTAATTTACTGTCCAGTTTCCTATCCAATACTGTACCAAATATGATTTGATATGTAAGAAAAGGCCAAGCTTTTAATAAAGAATTCTAACATGGATGTGGCGTGATTTTTTCAGATTGGGAATGCATTTATCGATTTTGAGGATGAGCTCAGAGGTTCATATGAGTATCTCTGGTCACATGCTCTCATATCAGACGAACTTCATGATGGAATTGTCTCGTATTGCAATTTTTCTTCCATATCAGAAGTTTGTAATGGACACATTGATCAAGCAGACGAGGCTAGAGGGAACATCTTCATGTACAACATTTATGCTCCCTTGTGTTCTATGTCTTCAAACATTCCCTCGGTACACTTCAGTTACTCATTCTTCAGTATCCTTAGAAACTATAAACTAAATATAAATCATACAGAAACCCAAAAATCAGGAAAATATCACTGAGATTCTCTTCCTTGACTATGGATAGTGATTTAATCGGCTTTTATTTAATGTAAAAACAGATATCTGGATTCGATCCATGCTCGGATAATTATGTCTACAGCTACTTAAACACTCCTGAAGTGCAAAATGCCCTTCATGCCAATATCACTGGAATTCCTGGACCATGGGAATCTTGCAAGTACTACAATTCTAATATTGAATATCATTCATTTCAAAATTGCCTTAGAATTTTCTTTTTGTTGATCAATCTGTATACAGTTTTGATGTAGGCATTAATTGGAAGGACATGCCAGAAACAGTATTGCCTACCATTAAGGAGCTGATGGGTAGTGGCATTAGCATTTGGCTCTATGGGTAACTAGGGATGATCTCTTCCACCTCGTCTAATAGTTTAAAGTTGCTGAGTTCAGAGAAATTTATTCTGTATATTCAACAGAAGACTTAATCTCTAAAAACATGTGCATTTGCAGCGGAGATACGGACGGAGCAGTGCCAGTAACAACAACTAAGTATTCGATACACAAACTTGGCCCCTCAGTAAAAACTTCATGGTACCCATGGTACTCTAGAGACGAGGTAACAAATAACTCGTTAAGTTTCTCAGTTATCTTCTTCTGCATCTCACTAAGACATATCATCCGAAACTTAAGGTTGGAGGCTATGCAGTTGAATACCAAAATCTTACATTTGTGACTATTAGAGGAGCAGGACATTTTGTTCCAAGTTACCAGCCTGAACGTGCCCTCACTTTCTTCTCATCCTTCTTAGAGGGAACGCTTCCTCCACGTCACAGCTGATTGTGTATCGAGATATGATTACAACCATATAAGTCTTATTCTTAACAGGTTTGGAGTAGACTCAACATATCAATATAATTATCAAAAATATTTGATGTTAGTTCAATCGAATATAGACTCGTATAAGTTTTCATTCACTTTTAACTTTCTTCCGCGATCTCATTTTTCAACAAAGTTTAGCTTGAAAGGAAACTTGCATAGGAAAATTACAAGATTTCATCTTTCAAACGACCTTAGTGGCATGAGGATTAATTATACATCAATGAAATATGCTGCAAAGGGAAATGTTAAATTTGTCGTGCCATAAAGACCTAAAATGGTTATTTTACATCGGTAACTATCTTAGTGTAAGTAAAAATCTCTCAAAGTGCTTAGTGAATTTGGTCCTTTGCCTTGAGGTCACATGAGGACCGATACACTTTGGTGGTGTTTGATATTACTTTACATAATGCAACTAAAATGATTGTTATGGACCGGAATGCTCTGATACCAATTTGTTGAAGATGATACCAGATTATATGCAAATTGAAGTAATTGACCACAAGAACACAAGGACAAAATAATTTGAAGCGAATGGAGATTTTATTATAATATAGTGAAAGAATACAAATATTATGTGTTTATAATTTGTCTAACTTTTTCTAACTTCTTTTAAATTTAATGAAGAGCCAAGTATCTATAGGCAACACATAGGGGACGCCTAAACCCTTATAATAGAATTGTAGTTGAAGTAGAATGTTAAAAACGGAGTAGAAGAGAAAATCACTCAAGAGGTAAACAGACAGTGGCGCAGCAGCGTTGGCCAAAATTGTCGTGACGACGCGGCACCCACTTTCGTGTCTTTTACTCCAAAAATCTTGATTTTCTTCATCCCAATGTTTTCTTCAAGTCCAACACAAATTCTTACTTCCAATGGACCTCCATGTAGAATTTCAATTAGAATTCGTCGAGTAAATTTGAATAAGGTTCAACAATAACATTCCAAATATGATTCTTCTTAATGTGCACTTTAATTAGAACTCTCAATTATTTTCAACAAATAATTTGGGTCAATTATTTTCAACAAATATGATTCTTATTAACGCGCACTTTAATAATCTCCACATTAACTTGAATTCCATACAATGAACAAAACTTCAAAAATTCTCCACATGAAAACAAATTCTCAATTATTTTCAACAAATATGATTTTTCTTAATGTGCACTTTAATAATCTTCACCTTAACTCGAATTTCACTACAATGAACAATACTTCAAAAATTCTCCACCTGAAAACAAATTCTACTACAAAGAATAAACTTGATTTCTTTAAAGAAAAATACAAACAGACTTTTCCATCAACAATTCCAATTGAAAATATTCTCCACCCTTGCTACCCTAACTAAGGGCAAAAGCAATCTAATGACCACCAAATAAGGCTGAAACAAGTCCTGTAACAGAATTCTAACTGAATCTAAATGTATCAAAAGATGGATCTTGGGTAGAATCAACACCTTTAATCGCATTCAAACCATTAACAAAATCAGCTGAATTGTATCTATGTAGAATCTTATGTTAAAAAATGGATCTATTTCTAGTAATTGAATACTATGATATCGTCGATAATGGTGGCAAGACGAATTTACTCATATCTTCAAAATTCAGTTGAAATGTATTTTTAAAAGAAGACCCCAAATTAGATTCCAATGGCATAGAAGCCAACTCTAAATTCACTCGAGTTCTTGAAATATGCTGATTACTCAAATATTTTGTATCACCGTATAAAATATATAAATGGGATTTTCTATGTTCCTTCAGCACAACACGAGCTCCTTTGATAACATTCAAAACTCCATCTTCAATGTGTATGTACCATTTTGAATCAAGAGTACTTAAGGAAATAAGATTTTTTTTTTAGATCTTGAACTCGTCTCACTACATCAAGTGTTTTAACATTCCCATCAAATATCTTTATTCTAATTCGACCAATACCAGCTATCCGACAAGGTGTTTTGTTATCTGTCATCACAACACCTTTCAAAACTCTTTATATATTGAAAAAAATTCCCAATTGGGTGACATATGAAAAGTGCAAGCTGTATCCAGAATCCAGGTCTCATCAGTTTTGGAGTTGTAGTCAGACATAAGTAGAATCTCTCCATTATTATTAGGATTTTCTGCAATACTTGCTTTTCCTGAAATTTATTATTGTTGATTTGCAGTTGACTTTGATTTATTCTGCAACTTAAAACAATAGTTTATGCCCATTTTTCTTGCAATGATTACAAAATTTCAAGTTAGATTTTGACTTGCCCCTTAAACGACCACAATGAACAATAATACCATCTCCATGATCCCCAAATGCTACAAGATGCTTCATCTTATTTTTTGAATATAGAGCATCATAAACTTTTTCAATGGTGAGAATATCACGACTATATAGAATCGTGTCTCTAAAATACATGTATGAGGCGAGTAATGAACACAACAAAATCAATCCCAAGTATTCTTCATCAGATTTGACTTACAAGGTCTCCAATCAGTGACGATTTCTTTAAAATAGCTAGGTGATCCTCAAAAGATGCACCTTCTATCATACGATGAGAATATAGACATTTTCTATGCAATTTTCTAGTAAGACTCTTCGTTATGCACAATTGTTTCAATTTTAACAATAAAGCAGCGACTGACTTCTCATTTAAAACGTCTTGAAGAATATTATTTGAAAGATGAAGATGTATTTGAGATATGACCTTTCGATCCCTCCGTTGTTTCTCCTCTATAGTCCAAGTTGTTGGCATCTTATCAAATCCCAACAATGCATCATCTAAATTCATGTGAACGAGTACTGCTTAATCTAATAATAAAATATCATACTTAATTGTTGTCATCACGAAAACCTCAATCTTCCCAAGAATTTCAACACCAAAAGCTCTGATACCAATTGTTCTGAAAATCGGAATGCTTTTATATCAATTTGTTGAAGACGATACGAGATTATATGCAATTTTGAAGTAATTAATCACAAAACACAAGAACAAAATAATTTGCAGAGAATGCAGATTTTATTATAATATGAAAAAAGAATACAAAGATTATGTGTTTTACAATTTGTCTAACTTTTTTTCTAAATCATAATGAAGAGCTAGCTATATATGGGAAACAAATAGAAGACGTCCAAACCTTTATAGTAGATTTGTAGTAGAATGTGAAAAACGGAGTAGAAGAGAAAAAATGTGCAAGAGGCGAAACAAGCGGTGGCAAAAAAGTTTGGAGGCTCGGACGGCTCGGGCTCGGGCTCGGGCCAAGCCCCACTTTGGGGAGTCGGCTCGAGCCCGGCCCCGTGGCCAGGGCGAGCCACCTATTTATAAAAAAAAAAAATTTTTTTTTTGAAGGCAGCTAAGAAAAAGTAAAAAAAAATAAAAAATAAAAAAACCAAAAAACCCGAGCCAGCTCGGCCCGCTAAGGCTCGGGCTCGGCTCGAGCTTTTTTTTTTTCGGCTCGACTCTTTGACATCGCTAGGCGAAACAGACGGGGTGGAGCTACAGTGCCCTTGGCCAAAATTTTTGTTGCGCCGCGGCGCTCACTTTCAGGTTCTTTACTCTAAAAATCTTGATTATTTTCATCCCAATGTCTTCTTCAAGTTCAACATAAATTCCTACTCCCAATATGCTTTCAAGTAGAATTTCAATTAGAATTCGCCAAATAAATTTAAATAAGATTCAACAATAGCATTCCAAATATGATTCTTTGTGTACTTTAACTAGAACTCTCAATTTATTTAACAAAGAATTCGAGTTACACCTAAATTCTAACAATGACGTTGTATGAGTATATCGAGAATCATGTAAAGATTGATGAATGATCAATGTAAGAAAAGCTTATGACCTGCATTTTATCTAACCAACGTGGATAAGTGAATTCTTCATCTGGGGTGGAGTAATAAATTGAGACGGGCTTCAACTACAGCTCATATTGACATATTGGTGCTAATGAATAGTATGACTGGTTTATTTGGTTACATCGAAACTAAAGTATATTCATATCTTGTAATCAATTGAGTCGTACATGATGAAATGATTATATTTTTATGGTAATCTATCAAAACGGTTTTGTCAAAACTCATGATAATTTTTTTGTCATTTGGATTGCCTTGATACTTTGTTAGATTGATAATTTTGGATGGTGAGGTGAATTAATTTATAATCTAGACGAGTTAACGAGGATACTAATATCACAAGGTTAGCCATCATGAGTGGAAACTTGATGGGCCACAAAAAAAAAAAAAAAAAAAGATTATTGTGAATTTAAAATTAGACCTGGTCCAAGTGGAAGATTGTAAGTATTATGTCTTATGTCCAATTGTCGAATGGACTTAATATAATTACTATTGGTTTTTATTTTTTATGTATTAAGCTAAGTTTAATTAATTGGGTTAATTATTCTTGAACCCAATTAGGTTAGGCCTTTAATAATCTTAATGGAATTAGGATTTAGGAAAAATCTATAAAAATACATAGCCTAGGTTTAGGGTGTAAGGTGTTTGATATTATTAACCGGCAGATTCTTGTGTCTAGGGATGTGACATTTCATGAGAATGTTTTTCCATATAATAAACATTGCATATATGAGCTTGTTGCACCCTTACCCGTATCTGTAGATGAGTCTGAGTCTGATGAAGATGTATTACGTAAAAATAACTCCCAGTCACCTACTGCACATCTCATTGCTGAACCATCAATTGCCAGGGAAAACCACAGTCTCATGCCTGTGACAAATGATGACATTGACACTCAAATCCAAACACTTAATCAAGTTCCCACATTTGCTACTCCAAGAAGGATCAGTGGTTTCAAGACTTTGTGACTAATTTTAGTCACAGTGATAGCTTTGAACCGGTTATTCAACCTAAGATCACACCACATTCTACACAGTCCAGCAACAACACTTTTCCTTCACCTATCCCACAATGTTTTAGTTCAAAGCACAATGATTTTCTTGCAAATGTTAACACTGTTCAA